TTTACCAATTTGTTATGCTCAGCAGTTCCTAATTTGCTTAAAAGAAGTCTAACCTTCTTTCCTTCAGACCACGTGGCAGTCCTCGTTATACACGTCCGTATATTTTTTATAATACTCTTCAAAAGTTATCTCTTCATCTGGACTGTACGTGAATATTTCAATTGAATTCCATATATTGTATTCTCTGGGAAAGAATCATTTTGTAGATTTTTTCTTTCCTCTTCTCAGTTATTTCCAGAATTTTGTTTTGAAACTCCTTATGCATCTGTTCCATTTTTTGTTGAAATTGCATTTGTCTATTAAAAGTTTCCTCCTGTACTTGCATCTGGAATGTTTTCTGTTGCTCTAATATTGTCATCTGTTGTTCCGACTGGAACTTAAAAAATTCCTGGAATATATTTTTGCATTCCTCCATCTTCGCAAAAAGTTTACACAATGTTTAAATATTGTAGAAGGGGGGTCCTACGAATTTGCAATTCGTGACCTATTTGAGCAAACTGTATTATCGGGGAAAGAAAAAAATTTCTTTTCTCAGTTGAGAATACGATTTTTTTTTTCGTCACTAAGTTGACGTCTTTGCTTCCTTTGAAAAAAGTTTGTTTGTTTTTTTTTTTTTTTGTGAATCTGAGACTTTATCGCCAAAATTATGACGAGCATTTTTTTTTTCTTCCTCCATATGAGAACGAATTTTGTCAACCAAAAATTGTTATGTAGAGCAAATATATTTTTTTTTTTTTATGAGTAAATTTCCCAAGTTTGTTATTGTTTCAATTTTTTTCTTCTTACTTGAATATTAGGTGGGAGGACTATTAACTATATGAACAAAGGTTTTTCTTCCTCAGATTATTAAAGATCATTCGTTTTAAAAAATAAATAAGTATTTTTTTTTTTTTTTTTTTTTTTTTTTATCCTCGTGTATGACAAATGAATAATGTCACTGAATTTACTTTTAAAATAGGTAGTTTCACTTTTTGGTTTTTAAATTTATACAGTGAGTTACAGTACTTGTTAAAGTAGGAATTTCATGAAACTATTTTTAAAGATGAGTTACGATTCCACGTCTTGATCCGTTTCTGACCTATCAACTCATTGAGCCTTGATCAACTATCCACAATTAGAACTATCAAAATAGTGGGATTTCTATCAAAGTAATAGTATTACATATGAGGTTAAACAATTCATTTTTCCAAATGGTATTGGTATAAGGAAAACTTTGCCCAATTTATACACCATTCTTCTTAGTACCATGGAAAAAAAATTAGATATAGGTCTGCACTTTGCTTTTATTAGAGTATATCAGCAACATTTTAAAAGCTGTTTTTTACACAGTTGAGAGATATATTTTGCAACAACTGAATTTTTAGACTGAAAGGAAGCTACAGAAATTAAAGTGATAGAGATAAAAAGTAAAATCGGGCTTGCTTGTCTATTGTTTATTTTTAAATTTTTTCTCAAAAGTTTAATCTTTTTTTTCTGTGGTTTATGTTTATTTAAAATAGAAAAGAGATGTTTTGAGATTTAGAAATTTGTACAAAAAAAGAGAGAATTCCTTTCTTGGAAATTCTCATTTAGAAAATTTTTAATATTTCCAAAAGATTCAGCAGATAGTTTTAAAAATTACAGAAATGCACATTAAAAAAGTTTGAACAATGACTTAAATCTGAAAAAATATGAGATCCATTTAATTAAATAAGATTTTTGACATTTAATGTAATTTTATCCAGTAAAAAGAATCAGACCTGTTTTATTAATCTTATAAACAGAAATTTTAATTTATATTGGATTTCAATTTTTAAAGTTTGATTTTTTTTGGTTTTTGTTGGACTTTGAGATAGAAACAATAAAATTTGTTAATCTAATCAGTACTATTAGAATTTGGTGATCTCATTAGGATAATATTTTCATTAAATCCAATTCATCGAATTTTAATTGAATAATGTCATTTATTTTCAACCTGTGTTTTTTAAATATTTGAAATAGCAACATTAACATTTAATTTTTTTTTATAGCACAAAATCTTTTCAGGATGTTGGCATTTTTGACTGTAAAAGAAATGATCAAAATGGTACATAGCCATATATTGAAATTTGATTTGTGTATATTTTCACAAATTTGTTTCAATTGGTTTTTTGCCTTCGGTATGTCCTGTGAGGAAAATTTTAATTTTTGTTTCCTCATTGTTTCCTATCAATTTGAGTTTATTGCAGAAATCATCAGAATTTTTTTCTTTTAATTCACTGAGAAAAATTTTTTTTTAACAAAATATCTTGCATGTGAATGCGAATTCTTTTTAAGAATTTTATTGAAAAAAGATAACTTCATTTCAATTTTTACCTGGTTGAAATTAAAGGAAACAGTTGGCATTTTTTAAATTTCAGATTCACTTTAGAACAATGAAAAGTAGCTTAGGCATTGATTAAAAGTTAACAAAAAAATGATGTTAGGTACAAATGTCCTGGCAACAAACAATTTTTTTCTTCCAATATGAGAATAAAGAGATTCAGAAAGATGCTATAGAACTTAAAATTTGGGAAGAACTTAGAAAGATGAATTTTCAGCATCTTTTGTTTTAAAAAATTTCTTGTATTCACAAAATCGGTACATTTTTTTATTGAGAATTTCATTCAAAAAGAAAATTCAGAATTTCTATTAATGTAGCAATTAAAATGTCTTGATATTTTTTTTTAATTTATTTATTTAAAATGGAGATTTAAAAATGATTAATGCACAGATTTTATTAAAAGGAAAATTAAAGTTACTAGGTGGGACAGGAGATTATGGAACTGTTGTTACATAATGCATTTTTTTATGAAATTGCATATCAAATAGAAGTTTCTAATACATGGAAGGAACTAATTTTTTGAATTTTTTTAGAAAGAAGGACAAATTATTTCAATGATATATGGTGCATCAATACCTGTTTCTTAAAATAAATTTTAATGAAAACTATTTAAATAAGAATACATGCAAAAAATATAATGACATATTAAGATAAAATTTCATCATTTTTTTTTTCTTTATAAAATTGAAATTATCTTTTTTATTTTGTCAGATATTTGTGCACCGTTACTTGACAACGTGATGTTTATATTGAAAGAGCATTTACAAAAAAAAGGAATTTAAGGTTTGGAAAATTATTTTTTTATTAATTTCAGACTAACAAATTAAATCTAATATTATACAAATAACATTTCTGGCTTAGAACCAGCCCCATCTAAAAGGTTTTTTTTTTAATCCACAAATATCCAGACTTTAAAATATTGCAGAAATATTTTTAAACAACAGTGGATTTTTTGAGATTTGAAAAAAAAAAATTTTACCAATCGATTCTAGAACAAAAAAAGAATTTTTCACTGTAAAAAGTTAACCTGATAAATTTGCAACATCTTCATTGGACAAAAGAATTTAAAATTTTTGAACCAAATTTCCATGTTCTAAAAAAGATTAAAAAAAAATATAAAGTTAAATTAACAAAATTCCGACAAGGTTTTTCCTGGTATAAAAAATAAAGATTTTTCAATAAATGGTTGAATTTTTATTCTCTGTAGTGGATGCAACTTCTGATGAGTCCCAAAAAAAAGATAAAAAACATGGTTCTAGATTCAATGAATCCACTGGTGTATCATCCTTTGAATAAAAGTTGAATTTTTTACATGATCACCAAATATGCCAGATTGTAATTTAAAAGTTAATATTTGAAAAGAGTGAAAATGTTTTTCATAAATTATTGTTTGGGGAAAGTACTTAAAACTAATTTTTACTTATTTAATAAATAAACTATGATAAAAAAATTTGATATTAGTATTTAAAAAGGAAAAATTCAAAAGAGAAAAGTCTAGAAGATAGTTTATTTAAAGCTTTTTTTAATAGGGGAATATATATCTCCTTATTGCCAATTAAATCGGGGGGATTTTTTAAAATCAAGACTAGCAATGATAATGAGGAGGAAAATGTAATCAAGTAAATGACTGAAAATTGTTACTTTGTTAGTGTCACTTTGATTCTAGGCAGAGCTCACAAATACTCTGATTCTAAGCAGAAGTGTCAATTCATATATAAATGATCATGTAATGATTTTTTTTTAACAGGTACTTTTTTTTTTTGTTATATCAATGTATCTTACTGTATTTGGAGTTAGTAGCAATTTTTAAAATGATAAAAAATAACCTCAGACAAATTGCCTTTTTGTTTCTATTTATTTTAATGAGTTACTTTGTAAATTATAACTACTTGTGTGTGGCCATTCAATTTGCATTATTTCCTTTACTAAGTGATTAAAAAATTGTCTTAGCTTCCTGTAGCAAATAATTTATAATATTAGCTTGTGAACTATTAGAATACAGTAAGCACCTACAAATAATTGATTTTAACTCCTTGTAATTAAAAAAAGAAATGATAATTTAATCTTGGAAATTTGTTTTTTATAAAATGAAAAATTAGTTGCTGGATTGGATTTTTACAGAATTTGTTATAAAGAAGCAAATTCACCAAAAATCAACCATTTTATGAAACATTTTTTAAAATGGAAACAAAATTTGTTTTTTTTTTATCTCATTTTTTTTAATTATTGTAGTCCAGCAAAATTGTTTTTTATGATTCTATTTGATTTGAATTTGTGGATGTTTTAGATATTAAACTAAAAAAAATTACAATTTTTACTGAAAATTTTAATTTCACAGATATAATTAAAACAATTGACTAATTTTTAAGGGTATAATTAATGGCAATAATGATTTATCAATTCTAATAGTTTTAGTGAAAATAGGAATATCACAATTTAAGAATCATGAATCTCTAAAATGAATCCACTTTTTGTTGGCATCATTTGAATTTTTAATTTAAATGCAATAGATTTTTATTTATTTTTTTAGCCTAATTTTTTTTTTTTACTTTGTAATTATAAGATAACATGTTTTATGAAGAGCTTTCATGTTTTTCAGAAAGCCATGAGGTTTATGTGTGATATTGAAATCTGTAACCGATGTTTGCCATCATACAATATGAAGAGCTCTGGCCGATCAAGCCGGGGTTACTTGAGTATTGGTCAGAAACCTGGTAGTACCAACAAAAACCGAACAGTTTTTATATCCTTTTCTACTGCAAAAGATAAGTCTGGAACTCAGTATTTGGTAAGTTTTTTTTTTTTTTTTTTTTTTTTGCATGTTTTTAATTTACTCTTGCATCAGTTTGTTCTTATTTGTAAAACTTTAAGAAATTCTTCATATTCACTTGCTCTTTTTTTTTTTTTCTGACTTATGATGTTTGTCTTTAGTGTACATTTTTAACTAGTTTTTCTTTCATTTATTTTTGTTGCTTTCATCCCAACTGTTTTGACTAAGCAACATAGTGTGGCAATAAAAAAGCTTTTGGCAAGGTAAGATTTGAACTTGTATCTCTTTGGGAAATTATCTTACCATGTGAGCACCTATCAATTACACCATGAAAGCTTAACTCAGTCATCGTTTGGATAATCCAATAACTATATTCTTTTCTAATCTAACTTCGACTATACCACCATAATGTAAATACTAGTATTAATAGTATTATATATCATAGTCTTGTTCTTTATTTCTCATCTTTGGCTGCTTGCTTTATGATCATAGAATGATGATTTGAGAATTGAAATAAAAGCAAGAGAACTAAAGTGAAAAGAAAAACAATAATGCTTCATCAAAGATAAGAAAAAAATCTGTTTTTGTATTCATTATACTTGGATAATTTTTGTTGAATTTATGAAGAAGAAATCCGTGTTTGCTATTGACAGTTATACAAATCATTTTTATAGACTTCCAAAAATATTTTTCTCTATTTTTCATGAGTAGACCAGTATTTTAAGTAGTGCCAATCAAATTTGTAAATTTGATCTCTGAAAGATTTTGGCAATATATATATACAGACATCATAAGTTGTGGATAGTGTAATTGGTTATTCATGGTCTGGTTATACACTACAGGCAAAAAGTTTGGACCACCCTGCATTTTTCTTTAAAAAAAAAAAAAATACCTTAAATGAGATATTTTTGTATTTTCTTTTTAAGTAAAAGATAATATTTCAGTAACTACTGTGTATTTGTCTTTCCCCAGGCTTCTAAAAAAAGTTGAAATTAGAATTTCTGTCCACAATACATTTTGCTAAATTATGAATATAAACATATTTTGTTTTCACCATTAACTCCTCAATAGACTCTTCGAGTTTACCAAAATTTTCAACTAAGTTAAATGTTAATACAAGTTATAAATGTTAGCTCAGCTCTGATTAATATTGTAAATATATGTAGGTGCCTCAGTTTCAAGAAAGAAAAAGTTTGTGCCATTACAACAGTATTTTCATAGTTTTTTTTTTTTTTTTTTTTTTTTTTTAATTTTGAAGTAATTTGCACAAAATGGCAAAATCCAAGCTAAAGATTGAGGCGAGGGCACAAATTTAAATTTTATTCAAAGAAAGCTACTCTCAAAGACATTGCCAAGAAATTGAAGATTTATAGACATGGGATGCAATATTCATTACAAAGGCAGTTACAAACTGGTACAAATGTTGACAGAAAAGGAGCTAGAGCACCAAAAGTAACATTGAAAGTTATCTGAATGGCTATTTTTATAGATCCATTATTTTTTATAGATCTCAACTTGGCATCTATGCTGATGACACAACCATTTACTCTTGTTTTGATAGTAATTCTGATCAATTTGATAAGGTCAAATTGGCAGTTGATATAAAAAAAAAATGACCTTTATTCTGTTATTAACTGGAGCAAAGGATAGCTTGTTAATTTTAATACCTCTGAAACTGCTCTCTATTAATCATCCGAGAAACCCCTTTCTGCCTTCTATCGGCATGACTGATTCTAACCTCCAGGAGTGTCACTTGTTGCACCTTCTCTGGCTAATGTTCATGACTGACATGAAGTGAAAAGACTATATTGAATCCATTGCTAAGTCAGCTGCTAAGAAAGTTGGTTCACAGTGCTGTACTAGACAATTTTTTTTTCTTCAGAATCTATCTTGCATATATAAGTCTACCATTCATCTGTGCTTAGAATCTTGCTACCATATATAGTTTAATTCATTTGTCTATAATGTCGTTTTAGAACGCTCAACTTGCCACATGTTTTGACATTATTTTTGCACCAACCTAATATATATCTAGAGATCCTTCATAAAATCCAAAAAAGAATCAGTAGTATTATTTGGTTCTGATCTGGTGTCTCAGCTTCAGTCCCTTTCCCACTGCCATAAAGTTACCTTCCTGTACCTCTTCTATAAATACTTTCATGGTAATTATTTAGATGATCTCTTTGCTATGGTACCTAGACTTTAGGAAGTTAAGTGCAGTACTAGACTGGCATCAAGATCTCATCAATTTACAGTTGAACTGGCTAGATGTAACCATAGATTCTATGCTAGCAGTTTCTTTTCTCGCACATCTTGTGGAACTCTCTTCTGGCTCCATGCTTTCCTGTCAACTTTAATCTTCAAAAATTTAAATGCAGTGTCAATTGTTATCTGCTGTTCTGATTATTCTTACTTTGTTCCCACTCCTTAGTAATGTTTCTGTTTTCTAATTCCTCCACACCTAATAACTCCTTGTCTTAGTGGCTTTACTGCCTTGCTTAGAGTGAACTCACTTAAAAAAAAAAATGCTGCAAGATAAACACTTGATTATTGAGAGCAAAAGTAATAGAATGAAAACTGCCCCAGACTTGACAGCTGAACTTAATTCCTCTTGGCAACAATCAGTGTTGTTCTCAACTGTGAAAAATTGACTTAGATCAGCAGAATTCACTGGGTGCAAAGCTATCAATAAACCCATGTTACAGAAAATGAATGAACAGAAAAATACTGTTATAGGCAAAAATACATAAGAACTGGACATTGAAAGAGTGGCAAAAGGTATTGTGGACAGACAAGTCCAAATTTGAATTTTTTGATAGTAAGAGGAGAGTGTATGCAAGAAGAAAGTTGGTAGAAAGACTGAATGATGACTGTGTGGTTATAACAGTTAAGCCTGGTGGTAGGTCTGTTATGGTATGTGAGTATTTTGGGGAAGATAGGGTTAGAGTTTGATTCAGCTCAAGGGAATCATGAAAAAAGAAGAATATTGTTTAATTTTATAAAGACAAGCTATACCATTTCATTTACACATATTTGGGGGGGGTCACCTTTTAATAAGATAATGATCAAAAAAACTCTTAAATTATGTCAAAATTACCTAGAGTCCCTCAAAAATGAAAAGGGACAAAATTTTTGAAATTATAACATGGCTGCCTCAATCTCCTGACCTCTCTCACACATTGAATTAGTATGGGGTGAATTGGATAGGATTCAAAGAGAATACCCAAAGAATGAAAATGAGCTTTTTTAATGTTTGAAGAATACTTGGAAAGGTCTGTCTTTTTTTTTTCCTTTCTTTTCTTTTCCTTTCTTTTCTTTTTTTTTTTTTTTTCAGAAATTGTTGGAAAGAATGCCAAGAATTTGTAAAACTGTAATTAAGGTGCTTTTTAAGGTGCTTTTATTGATAAATACAAGATATGATGCTGTTGAATGATATTTTTTTTTATACTTAAGTGCTTATTTATTGTCAAAATAAAGCAAATACACTGTAGTTACTGAAGTTTTATCTTTTACTTAAAAAGAATACAAAAATATTTCATTTTAGGGCATATTTTATAGAAATGCAGTGTGGCCCCAAACATTTTGACTGTAGCATATCTGATAGAAATCACCAAAATAACCTGTTATTGATTTCATGTCAGTAAAATATTCATAGTCAAGTAATAGTAAATGTTCAAAATTATTAAATCTTATTTTGGATACACTGCACAATATGGTAATGAAATCAATTTAAAATAAAGTGTGAATAATTATTATTTTCAGTCAACACCAAAATTTTTGCAAAAATCACTTTAAAAAATCACTTCCTATTTACTGTAATTTCTTTTCTGTGCAATTGTGTGTGTGCGTGTGTATATATGTAACATGGCCCTTAATGTTAACTGTTATATTGGACATACAATCAATTTAATAAGAGACCAGCTGTCCTTGTGTTTGTCCTCCTCCTTTCTCTCATTTTTTTTTTTTTTTTTTTTTTTTTTTACTACCTATCTGGAATAAGTCATCTTATGACTAAGAGAGGGCACGAAAGAAATTTGGTTTCACTTGGCAAGAAACAAAATGATCTCCCTAAAATGGGTGTGAATCAGTCACCTACACTCACATGACATACATCACCAAGTGAGATTTTGGGATTGTAATTTTAGTTTACCAATGACCACCAGCAACAACAGTTTGCGAGAAAAATAAACTCTCATCATGCAATCATGAGGAATACGAAATACACCCACAAACTTATTCCATTAGTTGTTGTGTAAGAAATAAGGAAATTTCCTCCCAGAGATTTTGGATTTATTTGTCTATTTAATGGATAATGGATTAAAGATCATGCCCCAAAAAATACAGAGAAATCCTTATATATTCATCTCAGAGGCAATCCAATTAACCATGGTGAAATGGAACACAAACATTATTCCAGAATTCTATATTTCGCATTACAGAGGAAAGAACAACCAACTTTTGTAAACATTCTACAGCAACCTTGTCTGCCATTATGAACATTCAAATTCCTGAAACACAAACATTTGAACTGACATCTAATATCAGTTAAGTGTTCTTTTATTAATTGTACGTCTGTCACTCTATATTTTTCATATATTTTGTATTTTGTTATATGAAATTTATTTACAAATGTTAATCTTGTGTTTGTTGTTCATCGGTACCTGTTCACGTGTTCCTATCTGAGCAATCCCACCTTTTTCTTTTTTTTTTTTTAACCTGAGGTTCATTCCTTTATACATTGCTAATTTGTAGCATATACACACACATATCAAGAACAATATTGGGGAAATTGTATGACAAAGTGGAAAAAGTTTACTTGCAATATGTTTTTTCCTTCAAGGCATCATCATACTAAATTTGTTATGTTGGTATGACTGCACATACCCACAAACAAGGGGTTGCTGGGAATTTTGGAATTTTTTTTTTTTTTTAATATCTAGCTGAACTCATTTAGAGTCTTTTTCTTTCTATCACTTTAGTAGGTATTCTATACTGTGATATTAGAAGATTTGCCAGGA